GGGCGGTGACAGCCAAAGGAGCGCCGTGGTGTAGAAGGAACAAAGAGCTCCAGGGGGTGGCGCCCCCTGTAGTGGTGGCGGTGGTACTGCAGGTGGGGGCGGTGGTAATGCGGGAGGTGGCGCCCCCTGTGGTGGTGGCGGTGGTACTGCAGGTGGGGGGCGGTGGTCCCGGCCATCCCGGTGACCCCGGCTGCCCCCCCCTCCCCCCGTTTCCTCCCCCCCCCAGCAATGTAACGACGTGGGGCTGATGGCCTATTTGGGCACCATCACCAAGACGTGCAACACCATGAATCAGTTCGTCAACAAGTTCAACGTGCTGTACGACCGGCAGGGCATCGGGCGCCGCATGCGGGGGCTTTTCTTCTGACTGACGGCGCCTCCGTCCGCTCCCTTTATTGGCTCATTAAAAGCGTGCAGCCGACAAACAGACCCGTGGGGGGAGGGGAGGGGAAAAGGGGGTTGGGGGCTGCAGTGCCACTCAGAATGGGGGTCTCTATGCTATAAAGGGTGGGGGGTCTCATAAGGAATGGGGGACCAACAAGGAATGGGGTCTCAATGCTACAAGGCGTGGGGGTCCTGCTGGCACGCAGAATGGGGGTCCCATAAGAGATGGGGGGGGGTCCCACAAGGGATGGGGGTCCCAATGCCAGGAGGGGTGAGGGGTCCTACTGCCCCTCAGAATGGGGGTCCCCATGCTATAAGGATGGGGGCCTCAATATTATAAGAAATAGGGGTCGCATGAAGGATGGGGAGGGTCCCAATATCATGAGAAATGGGGATCCCATAAGGAATAAGAATCCCACAATGGATTGGGAGCCCACGAGAGATGAGGGATCCCACAGAAGATGGGAATGGTCCCTATGCTGTAAGGGATGGGGGTCCCAACCCATGAGGGAAGGGGGGATCCAATGAAACAGGGGATGAGGGGGGTCCCAATCCATGAGATGGGGATCCCATGAAGGATGGGGGGTCCCCTGTGCTGTAAGGGATGGGGGTTCCTACGAGGGATGGGGGGTTCCAATGCTGTAAGGGGTGGAGATCCCACAAAGGATGGGGGGGACCCACAAGGCATGGGGTCCCAATGCTATAAGGGATGGGGGTCCCTGTGCGGCAAGGGATGGGGGTCCCACAAGGGATGGGGGTCCCACTGCTGCTCAGAATGGGGTCCCAGTGCCACAAGGAACGGGTGGACCCCCCGAAGACGCCCCCCCACCCCCCTCCTACAGCCCATG